GACACAGGAGAGAAGCAGAAAGCAGGGGAGTTCAGGATGTAGGAGAAGAGACAAGGATAAAGGAGAGAAGATGAGTCAATGCTACGAGAGGAATAGACAAACAAGGAAAGAAGATGAGGAGAATAGGACAGTAGACGAGGGAACAAGGGGAGGAAGGTTAAAGGATCTGGGCGGGGGTGCGGGGGGCGATACTGCATAGGAGGAGTTGTTTGTTCAGAGACTCAGAGTTGGAAAAGTTGAGGAAAACAGAGACGGTTTAAGTTTCTGGTTCAAACCACAGAATGAATAAAACAAATTAAAAGTCTAAACGTTTGAGGAGATTAAGTGAGACCACCATGTGGCTGACAGAACGTTCTACCCCTTAAAACATAATCTGACCTCAAACTAATCCTGCTACTCTGAGGTCTCTAACCTTGAAAACAAAACCTCTAATTTCCCTTCTTTTCTCCTCATATCTGTTAATTTCCTCGACCACACTTTTTCATTTTTCTTCCTCTTGTTGCTCCTTTTTCACCCCGCACTCTCTCCTCGTCGTCGTTATCTACACCTGTACCTGTTCAAACGTGTTATCAGTTTCAGTGTGATCAACCTGCACAATGATGACCACTTCAAGGGCGGCTAATGGTAGCTTACTCGTGAGAGAAAAACAAGACAAGAGGAAGGAACTTAAACTTCTGGACGTCTGAGCGGACCCTGCAGCCGGGCACCCCAGCTGTGAAAACCTCCAACCACATAAGAGAGAGTAAAAGATTCCTGCGAGTCCCGTTACTCCACTTATTGAATTTTTACAACCTGGTGGACCGCCAGGCACTTGGCTCCACCAACAAGTCTCATGCCATCGCCTCCGCCTGGTCCAGAAAAACAGAAGGGGAGACGGGGAGTAAGACTGCTGGTTGAATCATCCCCTCTCCTGCTTTTATGACCCGTCTGCTCTGAGAAAAAGACGATAGCCTCTGTACTGTGTGTGTGGCAGATGACTGTACCGCCGTGGACGGCCGCGTTTATCACGTAACCACATACGGGACCCACACGCACACAGCCTGGCCTCTATCCCTCGTATGTCAATGAGAGACCTGCTTTATGTCTTGTGGTTATTTCTGAAGAAGTTGGAGGGGTGGGGTGGGAGGGGGAGATGAGAACTCACACCTTAAAACAGAACAAAGGTGCTACAGTTCACCTTTCTACATCTGTGGGAGTACAGTATTGTGATATCACTGATGACACAGCAGCTGCTGCCAACAATGGACTTCTTTTGAGCAGCTAACACCCACGACTTGAATCATAGTTTCATGAAAACAACCCTGAACTAGGGATGACCCCGATACCGATACCAGTATTCGGCATCGGTTCGATGCCGCCTTTAAGTACTCATACTCGTAAAACTATGCGGATACAGCGGCACTGATATCACTTAATGGCGGGCGTGCGCCTCTTTTCAGTTGAGCGGGTAGGCGGAGAGAAGCGAGATGTCAGCGGTGTGGGATATTTCAGCGTAAACGATGACGACAAAAGAAGAGCAGACTGCAAACTTTGCAGTGTAGCTGACGCGGTGTCAGTCGGACGTAAAATTGTTGGACATTTTAAGCATTTGGCATTAGTCTACTCCCGCCTGGAAGACATTCAGCTGCAGCTCAACCAGCCCGTAAGAAGACTCCAACAAGACGTGCAGACGCGCTGGAATAGCACGTACTACATGCTGCAGTCTCTCACCGAGCAGAAGCGGGCTCCGGGAATATTTGGCTCCGAATATGAGCGCACCAGTGGACACTTCTGGAAAAAACTTTGTCTGTTTTGGCTCCGTTTGAGGAGTTAACCCGAAAAGTGAGCTCGTCTGATGGTTTAGCATCAAATGTAATTCCTGCTGTGACCGCGCTTCAGAGACTTTTGACCAAAGAAACAGACGCGGATCAGGGCATTAAGTAATCGTAACGGTGCTCTGTATCGGTGAGTGCCCAAATGTAAGTACTTGTACTTGTAGTTGATTTGCAAAAAAGTGGTATCGGTGCATCTCTCTGAACCTGAACCTGAACCTGAACCTGAACCTGAACCTGAACCTGAACCTGAACCTGAACCTGAACCTGAACCTGAACTCTAACCCTCTGACCCTAACCGTACCACCAACAAAACCAAATGTCAGTCAGCACTTACTGCTGGGCAACACTTGAACAAAGAGCGACAAAGACTTTAAAAACCCTGTAAGGGATGTTAATCCAAACCAAGTGAGACTACGTCCATGTTTCAAAAACCCTTTTCACACATACGGAAATCTCCTGAAAAACTCCGGAGATTTGGCTACCTGGAGGTTCTTTAGGCTATGTGTGAACGCAAACAGATGCATTTTTCATGCAGACTTTACCCGGAGTTTCTCCGGCCAGACCCCAAGTATTTTTTGTGGATGTTGTCATTCCATTGGATTACACATAGCATTGATATAAAGGCAAATATTCTCATTATAGCGTCGTGTAGCGGACTCTGTTGCTTCGGCCGCTACTTCCGCGTTGTTTATTTACGTCACGTCTTACCTCAGGAAATCCCACGACCCCCCCCCCCCGACAGGGAAAGTCCCCCACTGTGAGGAGCATATGTGAACAGCTAGGTCGGGAGAATCTCCAAAGAAGTCCTACCGTAAATATCTAGATATTATCCAGAGTGCAGATGTGAAAACGGCTTAAGATTGGCTGTATGCGTATCAGAGGCAGGATTTATGTGAAAATCATTTTATTGGGCTGTGTTGCAAGAGGCTGCTAGTAGCTTTCTTTGAGTTTCAATGAGGCACACTCTGACTGCAGCCTCCCTCAGATATGTCAGCCCTGTGCTTGATCATGATGTAGTTCAACAATGTGCTAATATGTATATTAAGCTGATGAGTGTATATCCATTTCAATTTGTTGCCTTTCTGTAGGAAACAATCCCACAAAGAGTTTCATGCGTCTTCTTTTCGTAACATTTGAAGTAGACTGAACTGGGGTTAAAACACTCTACAAAGTGTGTAACTGTCTCTTATGTGTCTGATGTTGTCAAGTGTGCCCAGTGCTGTTCATCACTGAATAGATGTTTTTATTGCCTCCTTTAAAGCCTCCTTTTATGACAGGTCTGGAGATCCCATCTGTACTCCTCTGGATAACTAAGCTTTGTGTGTCACCCTGATTATGTGCCTCTCTGATTTGTAGGTAAATTTGCCAAACTGTTGCATAATCCCTCGACTCTGATGCTGCAACGTCGGACTAAAACAGATTCATGGTCTTTACTGTGAATGTGAGTCTGCTGTTTATCTTGTTACAACAACTTGCTCTCAACAGAAAATGGAGAGTTAATGTCTGCAGAGGTGACCCCAAAGCCAGTCACGACAAGATCCTCCAACCCCTTAAGACATAATAATGTTGGAATAACTATGTCAAGAGCTTCTTCGGATTTTCAGAGAACATTAAGTACAGTTGTCAACAAAGAGGGATTTGCTGAAGAACAGACAGTTGAAGGATCTTGTACAAGTACAAAACAAACATTGGGTACTGGCAACGGCCCCGCAGAACACAAGCCACACTATAATCCATCCCATTGAGAAGACGTATGTTAGAAAAACAAAGTGTATGTGCAGGGGGTTTTCGCCCGTCTCAGAACTTGCCGGTAGCCAGTTCATGTTACCTTATGTGACAGAGCCTATGCATTTTCTGTTATTTTTTCTCCATCTGAAAGAACATTCACTAATTAACCTACATTATGGGGCAGACTTCTCCTCCACACACACACAGACACACACATCAGCCTGTACCTCATTTTCACTTCCAATAAACACATCAGTTTTCTAAGTGTTTTTTTTTCCTTTCTTAAAGCAGCTTTGAGGAATTTTCATTTTCTGCCAACTTCTGCTGGCCCTGTTAACAAAAGCAGTGTGCCTGTTGTCCTTAATTTCTTGCTCTGGCTACATTTTATTTTGCATAATATCCAGAAAAATACACAGCTTTGTTTTCTCTGCCTTATGCACAGTACAGTTGAGTTGTCCTGCAGAGCGAGCCACCCCAGGACAAACTCCTATACGAGTCTGTTTAACCGGCAACACTCACTGCGTATCCTTTTCATAATCCAGTTAGAAAATTCTTGCAAGGGAAGCCTCTCTTGTAGGGCTGCTGACAGCTCTGTCGACAGGAGAGCCATCCTCGGTGGGAGAAAGTAGAAGTAGTTTACCTGCGTCATGTTTAAAACTGGTTTTAACTTACTTTACTTATGTTCAGCGCCAGAAGTAGGACTGGGAAATATACAGTTTTTAAGATATATCGATATATTTTCAAACAAGATACAGGGTAAGACAATATCGTTAATATGGATATAGTTTAAGTTGCATTAAAATAACATTAAAGAGGTGCCAGGTCACCTTTTTCTCATCTCACTGATGATGACTGACTGTCTGTTCCTCTTCACCCTGCTCCTCCTCTCTTTCACATTTTTATTTTATTATATTACTTTTTAAATTCACAAAAAGGTAGTTTATTTTCCCATGTGTTTTCACTGTTAATAAAATACATATCCATATATATCGAGTATCGCCTTTCAGCTAATCAATATCAAGATATGAGTTTTGGTCCATATCGCCCAGCCCCTAGAGAGACGCAGCAAACAGAAGGGAGTCATGTGCACAGGGCTTCTGATTCACTTTCTCTGGTTAAATCATTTTGTAGGTTTTTTTTTTTTTTTTTCTCTGAGACACAACAGTTTGTAAAAGCTTACATCCTGTCATGTTGTAATCATGCACTGCTCTGTGTTCAATGACTCAGCTCAGAAGAAATGCAATGACTCAGCATGATTTGATCAACCAGTGGGGGGGTTTCCAAGCTGATTATTTAAATGATGAACAATCAAAGGGCAATCCTTGAAATCTCTAGAGAAAGCTAAGATAAGCATGGCATAATTCTGTCCTTGATGCACGTACCTAAAATGCTCCAAAAGTGTCAAGAGTTCTGCTTTAACAATGAGGAACAGAAGGATTGTTTTCTTCTTCTACTCACCGTGCCGCTCACCCTGACGTCATGAAGTCGTCCCCAGTCATCTTCATGGCTGTCCACCATCATCATGCTTTCGTCTTCCTCCAGGAACCACTCGGCCTGCAGGTCGACCTTCACCTCCTCGCCCATGGAGTGCATCCCCACCGCAGGGAACAGCCCCTCTGCAGACACGGGGGACCTCCACTGAACCCACCTGCATCAGGAGGAGGAGGGAAGGTAGAAAAATAAGAAAAAATATATGAATAAAAACAGAAAGTCCTGCTGGTGCATGTTTAAAATTAAGTATTAAAGACAGTCTTTGATGATAAAAAACACACCTACCTCTTTGCCATTTTTGGTGAAAAAGACTGTTGTTAAACCTGCTTCGATGTTTTCTGAGTGTATTCCACAGCCAATGCGGTCACCGCGAGCACACTTTGGTCCAAATTGCTGCCCCACAGGGTTTCCATTGTATAACCTAAAGAGACCAAAATGAGCGTAGTCCAAAAGCTAAACATGTGTTTTTATAACTTTAATTAATTTCTAGCAAAATAAAATTATTTCCCACAACTCAGAGAAACTAAAAAAACAATGGATTGACCTTAAATCTTAACTTGTACTTGTGCAGTTTAGAATTGGAGGATATGGCTTTGCAGCAAAGCCTACACATGACGATGATGTGCATTTAAATATATAACTAGAGAGAGTACACTCAGTTCCAATTGAGACAGCAATAACTGTTGTTGTTGTCCTTCAAATGTACGTCTTGTAAAAGTTCAACACTCACGTCATCTAAGAGTAAATTGTGAGGATTTTTTGAGGTTTTCATGTTAAAAAGCAACTTTTGGTTTGAGCTTGTAGAATTTTTAACTTTATTCTAAAACACAGAATGAGATGTTTAAGGGTTTCTGAAAGAGGAGAGCAAATAGAGGTGAGCTTTGAGAATGTAGTGAAGCAGCATGGAATTGTGGGAGTTGTTTTTATACTGTTAAACTATCACCAAAGATGGGGCGCTGGTGGCCTAGTGGTTAGTGTTCATGTCATGTACAGAGACTACAGGCCTCAAAGCGGAAATCTTGTAAATGCAGGGAGATGAGTGTCGGCCCAGGTTTGAATCCGATCTGTGTCTCCCCTCCCACATGTCATTCCCCACTCTCTCTCTCTCTCTCCCTGATTTCTCTAAAATGAAGGCATAAAAAGCCATAAATTAAATCTTTAAAAAAAAAAAAAAAAACTATTACCATAGAAGATGAATTGTTTATATAAAGAATCTTTAAATTATTATCTTTAACTGATCAAATAATTCATCTAAAGGGGGGAGGAATTTATCATTTTAATTAAAAATGATAGTAGGTCAGACAAACCATAATTAGCTGTGCAAGGTTCAGACCTCCTCTGCCAACAATTCTATTTCTGTGACCAGTAAAGAAAAATGTTTCCAGTTAAAAATGCATCGAAAAAGTAATAGCGATGGAGAATGAATTACTGTATGTGCGGACGCAGAATCAACAGGCCACAATCCATTATGTCAAACCATGCAAGAAACCAAAGCTGCACAGCACAGTATAGATGACTGTGGTTTGACTTACTTGCCGTTGTCAGCGTGGTACGCTACAGAATATGGCAGCCAGCCAGGCTGGTGGTCCAGCCGGTAGAATTTAGGCACCAGGCCCACAGCGATAGTCCCCCTCACCCCTGTGTCCACTATTGTCACCTACAGAGAACACAGAGACAGAGAACACTTCAACTGAAATGTGGAACAGATGAAACAGTTTGATTTGAGTATTTACTCACTTGTGAAGAAAATGCAGAGAAACAAAACGCTGAATGAAAATCTCCACTCAGGAAACTGAACCCTGAAGTAAATCTCTGCAACTTTCAGCTCACCGTCCTTTTCTCAACAAAGACAAAAGATTGACTCCCTACACAGCCGCCCGCAGGTATGAACCAAGTGTGCTACTTTTTTTGGGAACCAGTAGCCTAGTGGTTACTGCGTGCGCCCTAATGTACAGAGGCTGCGGTCTTCCAAGTAAGTGTCCCAGGTTCAAATCTGACCTGTGGCTCCTTTTACCTGCATGTCATTCCCCACTCTTTCTCTCACTGACCTCTGACTCTATCCACTTCCTGTCTCCAAAATAAAAGGCACAAAAAGCCCAAAAATAAACCTTAAAAAAAAAGAAGAAATGTTCTACTTTTAGATAAGATGATAAACTTTATTGTCAGTCCCAATAGTGACAGAAATTCTCCTTTGACACGTCTCAAACAATAAACACAGCTTTTCCTAAATAACTAAATACTAATACTTCTAATTTACTAAATATCACAGCGAAGCCTCGTCTCAGGGACAATCCAGCCAACACGTACTGTGACTAACACTGTTGCCATCGGGCGCGCGAACACAGACAAATTCTGACAGGACACACTTACTCGAATGAACCAGTGGGCGGGATTCTAAACCCTTAAAAAGTCCTAAAGAAATCCTGCACACCGAGTTGAAGACCGTTATTTAAATGTAAGAGCGTTATCTTTCTTGCAGGATTGTAAACAAGATGTAGACATTTGGAATTTGCTTACATTACAAGTTTAAATAATGATTGCGATGTGAAAGCAAGAATCCAAAAGATGTGCGCTAATGCAAAGCATGTAGATAGGAGGGTAGACTTTAATATTCTGTTTATAATTAAGTTCATTTTAACTTGTGATTCTTGTAAATTCCACAAAAAGATACAAGACCACGTTTGAAAACGCAGACTGCTGCATCAAATCGATGAGACACATTATTTTTTAGTGTTTTCTATGTGAAGTTTGAGAGACTAACCTGCCTTTGTTGATGGCGCTTTTAGTGTTTCTGATGTCCAACAAAAGTTGCCCTGCCAAACACAGTTCCTTCCTCGTTCACCTAATTGCAGAGTTTGTAGTAATTTTACCTTTTTCTGGACCGACAGCAGCATACCAGCAATGCTTCCTGATCATCCTGATACTATCGTTTACAGAGATGGTTTAGGGAGCAAATGATGGAACTTGGAAAAGTTCTACTAGCTCGTCCCTTCTCCAGAGCCTTGGCAGCCACCAGAGGAAAAAACATCCACAATCAGCTTTATCTCCCCCTCAGACACAACACCGGTCTGTTAGCCTCGCCAAATCAGAGCTAAATGACACATAGAGCAGAGCCAGTTGAAAGGTTAATGCATGCAGGAAGAACGGCCCCCGTCGTGCATTTAATCCCTTGTCATTACCTCTCCAAGTCTGTTTTTATTTTTTTCATTCCAAGTCGTCTTCCACGGTCCACTTCCTGTTGCCCTCCTCATCATCTACCTCCCCATATTTAAAATATCGCTGCTCGTGTACGACAACTATCGACTCAAGTGAAACCAAACCCTTTGATTTTCCTGGACAAAATTTAAACATTCCAGGCTTCAACTGCTTTCCAGTTTCCAGGTACTTTAAGGATAAAACTTTATACCCTGCTTTGTTAAAGAGCTGAATTCTTGGTCACGACACTTAAACTGTTTAAACCCATTTGTGTCAGCAGGATGAAGAAAAACATGTGAACTACCTGACATGAGAGAGGAGAAACAAAGTGCTCGCTGATGAGCCGTTAAGTTGAATGTTTGAATGAATGTTTTGGGGCGTAAATCTATTAAAAAAATGTTTGTCACGCTGCAGATGTTTCAGCTGCGTTTGAGGAAGATGGACGACGAAAGGTGGAGAATGTGCAGCAGCGATGACGGAGGTGAAATAGATTCCCTGCGAAAAGCAGAACGCGGAGAAAACACGAGGATTCCGATGACGCATTCGTCGACTGAGGCCTGACCTTTACCTCAATAAACTCTGCTAAAAAAATTCAACATATCTGGGAACTGACGGTCGTGTGCGTCACAGAGCGGAGAATAATATCGCATTAAACTCCGGGTAATGACCACACTCAAAATCCTCTTGTTTAAATGTCAGGGAGATCTGTCCCGCCTCTAAATGTGATTGTCATTTAAATATCAACTTTATCTGAAAGAGTGCAAAAGGGAGGAGAGAGGGAGAGAGAGATCCAGGGGTCAGATCTGACTTTGACATCACATTTTTAAAAAGAAATGTCACATCTGGCTCAAATCTGCAACACCTCACAGGCTCAATAGATCACATAAAAGAAAAACATTCTCAGCATGTTTGAAAATTACGCTGAATTAGACGTGAACTGTTTCAACACATGTCTGAGGAGGTGCTCCTCATCTCAAAACAAACCCCTCGAGAAGGCGAGTGGGTCGGACTGACTCATTAAAAGGAGATCTGGCTACAGCCGCACACCTCTGATGCTGCACCGTGCTCCCTGTCTGGTTTGATTTGCAGGTCAACAGAATGATGTAGGTTCACAGGATAATGTGTTGCTTGATGTTTTTTTTCCTCCTAAAGCCTACAAACCCAGACGAGGAAATGTGCCCGCCTCGCGTCACGAGGTCTGCTCTGACGCTCACCCTCCAAGAACACGCTGCCTCATAAATAAAACACTGCAGCCCAGTTGCAGATAATTTATGACTGGACTTTTGAAACTTTCCTGAGGTAAATCTCCCGAGATACTTTTTCTCCTCCTACACCTCTGCAACAATAAGAAATGTTATTGCGAGGTGGTGTTGAATACTCTATTCTGATTGGTCAATTAAGGCATTCCGCACTCAGCTTCTTCTGTATGACATACCAGTGCTGTGAAGAACAGAAGCTCTTAATCACAGACTCATGACGCCTATCAAACTCATACGAGTGTAAAACGCTCAGCCTCCACCATCAGACTGTGTCGCCCCCACAACCACCGCCGTCCTCATTCATGCACGGACCCGCTCCGACCTCCACCTCAGCTGCAAGAAAGTGAGGACAACAGGAACGAGAGGAATCCAAAGGAGAAATCCTTCCTGCATATTATCCCATATGCTCTGTTTGTAAAGCGTCTCGAGATGACACTTGCTGTGAATCGGCGTTATACAAATAATTATTTATTGATTGATTGAAAACATGGACACAGTCTCAGTGATGTCACACATCGGTTTCTGAAGAGATGTTTTGAAGCCAAGAGATGGCAGTCACATTATTGGAAATGCTCTCATAACAGGCCAGAACTCTGACGGACTGTGGTCAACGGCCTCTACTCCATAAAGGAGCGATAGGCGTGAATAAGTATCGCAACAGGCAGAGAGGGGAAGTTTGAGCTGGGCTTAATCATCCTTACAAAAAGCTACTATGCACTCGCCTGTGTTTTCACTAAACCCACCCCTTCCCCCCTTATTATGCATATTCATGCATCACTCTTAAGGCACTCAGTCTGGGGTTTTTTTGTCCAAAATTGACACACGTTAGGGAAGAAAATACAATCTCATCTTAATTCAATCATGTTTGCACACTGACTCCGACTTGACTTCACTGACTTGAATTTAATGAGACTTTTTACAGATTAGTGGGCTCGTCCTCAGACGTTAAAGCAGGTGATGTCACATCATTTCTTAAACTAATCAATGTGTGTTTTAAATCTGAGCAATAATCTAAACTCATTATTTTCCTCACTCTTTCCTTTTTTGTCTGTATGTATTCAGACTGAAAATTGTACTAAATCAAATTCCTTTCTTTTCAAAACGTGTAACTTGTAACCGTGTGAATAAATATCCAATAGTTTCTCCTGCTGTCAGTCTGTCTGCCTGTCTGCTAAAAAAAAAAAAAAAAAAACTCTGAGCATTAGACTAATCTCTGTGCTTAAAGATACCACCTAACCCACACCCTCCTCCTCATTCCAGTGCAGCGAGGACATTTTTGAGGTAGTGGTTTTGCACTGTTGAACTGGGACTGCATGGGGGCACGCTGGATGTAATATGAAGTTGAGAAAATCTTCAGGACTGGGATTCCAGGGGATTCAATTGCTGGCTGGATGGTAAAGCAATCTTGGGCACACCACACACGTGGACCATGGTATGTGGTATCATATCATAAATAATCCCCCCCACCCATTACTGTTTTAAATTGTGCAGAGGAACAACAGTGGTATTATTATCTTATGATTACCATATATTTTTTTTTAAAGTAGAAATATTAATAGATACAGTTGGAGGGAGACGTTTTTGGCGATCATGAATTAAAGATGCACAGAAATCCTCCAAGAAAGCGAACAGTTACAATCACAGAGTCGGATGTTAAGAGAATCACCATGCCTTACCTCAAAGTAGCAGTTTCCCTTTGATAAAGGATGGCCAGCCACATAGCAACCCACCTCCTCAGAGTTCCCTTGGTAACTAAAGGAAAGAAGTGACAGGTTAACAATAGGTGACTTCAAATAGACCAGACTTCTCAAATCCTTCATATATTATTTTTATATTTTCAGGTCCTGAAGTGCTGCAGAAACGCCCTGGAAAACCTGAATTTGCATGCAAACATTTTTGTTTGGTAAAAATCACCAAAAACAGCCCCACTACTCCCACTGATCCTGAAACATACCCCACCCTGACATCTGTCAAATAACTGCAATATGATTATTTTATCCATATTGTGCAGACCTACAAAGAATACCTAAAGTTTTGTACCAGCAGAGTTTGTTGAATGTTTAACAGGATATTTAAAAACAGATTAAAATGATTGCATCTTCAAATTATAGCAGTTATTCATTTAGAACCAAACTGCATCATCTGTATGGGCCTCTGAGATTCAGAGTCAAACAAAATTCATTATTCAAATTAACCACATTACAGAGGCGCCGGTGGCCTAGTGGTTGGTGCACACGCCCCTTGTACAGACGCTGTAGTCCTCTTAATGGGAGGCCCGGATTCAAATCCATTCTGTGGCTCTTTTCCCTCATGTCATTCCCCACTCTCTCTCTATCCCTGATTTCTGACTCTATCCACTGTCCTCTCTCTAAATGAAGGCCTAAATGTCCCAAAATAAACCTTAAAAAAAAATAATAATTAACCACATAACAACTTTTCCTCTAGGCAAAGATAAATAAGATTTTTTTTTTTGTAATGTTTCCAGAAATCATCCACTATGACTCTCCTCTTGGTGTTCAGAGAGTGGAGACTTTACTGAGGGTT